TAGAAACAAATTCCTTACATACCTTTATGAATATAAAACTTGTTTTCGACCGTCACTTGTCGGCGTTTTCCGGATCGTTTCGTTTACACCCTGTATAATTCTCGCCTTTACTTAAAAAATCTCTTTCAACAATGCATGACCGTTTCAGCATGTCTTAATCACCACCCTACCAAATATTATCACTGATCCCCACTCTCCTATCACCAGGTAGCAAACGTGAGCTGATAGCTACGGCGAAGGCGATTGCTGAAGCTTCCGAGGAAGTCACCAGGCTTGCCAAGAAACTGGCTCTCGAGTGCACTGACAAGAGGATCCGTACTGTGAGTATACGTCAAAGATTACATAGATAAAGACAAAAATAGCATTGGTACAGACCTCGACGTCATCAAACCAAGTTAGTCTAAAACTGGACTCGTAGTTCGAGTAATCATGTGTGTGACCTAGGTGTTTCGGGTCCGATTCCTGGATCAGACAGTGTTATTGTATTTTTTTATATTTTTATCGTCTTCCCAAATATTAATTAGCAAAGGCATTAATGTATCTAACAACACATTTGTTTTTCATTGTTTGTTTTACATCATACGTTTTCAATGAATACGGTTTACAACATTCTGTTTGTACGTCAAATACGAATCTTACAACTGAGTTTTAAAGCAGTTATCTAAAACCGATTAAGCTCAAGTTCAGTATAGTTGCTCAAATTTGATGACAATACAATATTTTTCAATAATTACACAATAATAATAATATTTGTTTATACCAGAATCTGCTCCAAGTATGCGAGCGTATACCGACGATTGGCACGCAACTCAAGATTCTATCCACCGTCAAGGCGACCATGCTTGGCGCTCAAGGTAACTATACTGCTTACCCCTCTATCATATATTTATCTTCAATCTTCTTCTTACTAATATATAAGAAGTGTTATTTAGCTTTGCTAACAATATGCGTATATTGCAAAGTATTCAATAATATATGTTTTTAAATACAAGCTTTCTATAACTGCTGATATTATTAATTTATGAGTACGGCTCGTTATTTATAATCGGGACCACCGGGGCTTACAACAAGCTGGCAATATAAATTGTGATCATTATAGCCTAAGATGGGTTTCAACTAGTTTCGAACCCAGGGAGCTATAATTAGGATTTGGTTTGTTTTTTTATTGACTAAGTCGGTAAACGAGCATACAGATCACCTGATGATAAGCAATCGGCGTCGCCCATGGACACCTGGAACACCAAAGGCGTTACAAGTGCATTACCGGCCTTTTAGGATTAGGAATTGGAGGATTGTTAGGGATTGGGGAGATTGGGGAGGTGGTAATTGGTCCTCCGGTAACCTCACTCACACGACGAAACACATCGCTGTGGTTGTTTCACTATGGTTTTTTGCTCGTTGGTGGTATCAATCCGGTCGAGCCAGCTCATTCGTGTCGAGGCTTGGCTCTTTAACACGTATAGTTTGTAATCTACTTCATGGTTATTGGCCCTTACGAACAAGTTGAATAACCTAAATATATATAAAATTGAACAATATATAATGCATATATTCTTTCAAATATTATAACGTAGCTTATAGTACATAATACTAAGCTTTCTCTCTATTAATGCTATGCTTCGCTTTAACAGTCGGCATGCCGGACTACAAAGGTAAAGCATTATGACGTCACACTGTCAATAACACACATACTCAAGTCTAAAACTGTATATATTTGCTCTACATTGAAAATTTCAGTGCAAGATAAACATTCTAATGTGTGTCTTCATAAAACACAAATTCATTGGTTGTGGCGTTGTTGTGGCTACTATGTCGCAGTCAACTATCTTAATTAGCCTTTTAACTAACAGCCTGAATGTTTAGCTGTTTAAATTAAATGGTTGAGTCTCGTTGAAGGGAAAGTAATAGTTATTAAAGTCAAGCTGCTACAATACAATAGGGTAGTTTCCTTAATTTTATTTTAATGCCCGCCTGGTAGATTAATTAAAAAAATTAAACGCGTATGTTTTCTTTTCTCATAAAATTAAATACTTTTGATGATAATAATTGAAATATCGTGTGACGTCACAACGTGCTACATTTTTTTTAAATTTGTGACGTAACGACCTCCCACTCCTAAACTTAACTCCATTATATCTAAGTATACTTTTGACTGCCTGTGGTCGCAAGTGCGACTGCCGGGCAAGGGGCCTCGGGTTCGATTTCAGGGACGGGCAAACTATTACTGGGTTTATAAAAAAAATCTCAGTAGTAGCACAGAGTCTGGAATTGTGCCCGGTATATGGCAATACGCTCACCCCTTATTACATGGCACTCATAACATAAATAGTGAAAAGTGGGTGTTACATTGTACAGTGGCATAATGTGCACCTCTGCCTACCCCTTCGGGGATAAAAGGCGTGATGTTATGTTATACTTTTTACGAGAAAATAAAAAAATAAGTGTCTAATATTTTTTCATTATCTAACAGACGGACTAATTATATTTTTAGGTTTCATACCTTGGCAACTACTCTATTGGGGTATAGTTTAGGTTAGAACTGTGAATAATCACTATAACAAAGTAACTGCAGCGGCGTATTAAAATGCCATTTATTAAATTGTCAAACACCAAGCGGTCACCGGTGACCGCAACCTATTGTTCTGTAATTGTGTCTACAAAACCGGTACTCGACGAGTTAAACAGACTAGGCTATTATTTAAATGGTCAATTAAGGTAGTTGTCTGCGTCAACCATTTAATATTTTCTTTAGCTGTGTACTAAAATATATTGTTTATTTACGTGATACAGGTAGCGAGGAGGACCAGGAAGCGACGGAGATGTTGGTCGGCAATGCTCAGAACTTAATGCAGAGCGTAAGATCTTCAGTTTCTTATTATTTTTGAGTTTTTGTTAAAGACATTAACATTGAATTCTGTCAAAAACTTAGATTATTTCAGTTTTGGATATAATTTGGTTTATGTAGTTAACTCAAACTTTATTTAATTAATTATTTTATTTTACTTTTTATTTATTTTTCTTTATTCAGGAAACAAACAGTCTCTTATAAATAAAATTATTACAATACAGTGTGATACATACAGACCTAGAGTTCCATAAAACTTTTCATAAAACATACAATTTTGTTGTTAACTGTTCAGTAATAAGCTGTTTTTGATAATATGTGGAAGTACTCTTCGATAAGATATAGACTTCGTTGTGAATTTGTTATGGGTTCGTAAGTTTAATATTCTTATAACTTGTTAGAGAAATTCTAAACGGAAATTTAATACACGACTCAATGTATTTTGACTGAAAGACTGCGTCTGCCGAGGGGTCTCGGGTTCGATTCCCGGGTGGGGCAAAGTATTACTGGGTTTTTAAAAAATTCTCAGTAGTAGCACGGAGTCTGGAAATGTGCCCGGTATGTGGCAATAGGCTCACCCCCTAACTAAAGGGACTCATAACATAAATAGTGAAAAGTCGGTGTTACTTCTGTGTGCACCTCTGCCTACCCCTTCGGGGATAAAAGGCGTGATGTTATTTTATGTATGTTTGTGTTAATGTATTTTCTATTGTGTCTCATACCGGGACATTCAAGTAGTTAATTTCTGTATCCCACCCGCAGGTGAAGGAAACAGTGAAGGCAGCAGAGGGCGCCTCCATCAAGATCCGCACCGAGCAGGGCGGGTACAGGCTGCGCTGGGTACGGCGCTCGCCCTGGTACCAGATCTAAACACCTGGACCTGCAACCCTGTCTGTACTAACCTCTGTAAAATGTGGAGTCAAGGTCTTGAATTACATGGTACTTGATAAACATCTGCTATGTGGGTACTTCGAAAAAGAATTCCGATGTTTACTGGCGCCCAACGTGGGACAAGAATGCAATGTACTTGTGTCGAAAAAAATATAATCAAAGAATAATAATATTATGAATAAACAGAATTAGCGTCGATTGTAATGTTCCCAACTTCGATAGAAACGGAATTCTTGATTCATTTAGGTCACTACACTTATAGTGATGAAAATTTTAGACCTTTGAACAATTGAGAGAAGGCGGTATCATAAAAAAATCATGTTAATTATTTATTATTCTTAAACTATTAATAGAAGTCAACACAACGTATCTTTTGCCTTTCTCATCTTCCATTTATTAAATACTACCTTAAGATGCGCACACGCATACTGATCGTTACATATTAAAACTAAGTACATGAGAGATTTATCTTTATAGTTTTATTAAAATGAAGTATAATTTCATGTTTTAATAATTATTAATCTTTTAAGATAATAAACTCGTTAGTTTAGTGATTGCTTGACTACTGACTATGAGGTCGTTGGTTCGATTCCAAATTCATGTGGAGAATTCATTTAAAATCGTGTCCGGTATACGGCAATAGGCATGCCCGTTATTAAAAAAGTGACTAAGTAGCGAAAAAATATATTAACTTTGCCTTCCCTCTTTCGGGCACTAAGCGTGATGTCAAGTAGTTAAGTTAAATATTTATACAAATGTAATGTGTGTAATTTATAAGCGGTTGTTATATTTCATTTTCATTGAAATCCACGTCTTACGGTGATTATAATAAGAACTATGTTACTCAGGCAGCTTCATAACTTTTGTTTCAATGATACACCTCAAAATAATAATTAAGAAAAAGTATAAGGACAATTGGGTAGTTTCCAGGGTAAGGAAATTAAAAATCTAATTAGTCCGTCAATGAGATAATGAAAAAGTATTAAACACGTATTTTTTTATTTTCTCGTATAAAGTTACAATACTCAGATAAAATGGAGTTAAGTTTAGGAGTGGGAGGTAGTTACGTCATAACGTGCTACATTTTGTTGCACGCTGTGACGTCACACGACATTTCAAATCGATATAACGTCGGGAGCATTTAATTTTGTGAGAAAATAAAAAATATGTGTCTAATGTCCTAAAATAATCTACCAGACGGACATTAAAATAAAATTTAGGAAACTGGCCTATAAATTCATTCAATATTGAATAACTACTGTTACAATAAATCTTCAATAATTATGTTCCAACTTATTATAATCATGATGAAATTCTAAACTACAGTGGCATTAAGTCCATAGCAATAGGCTCACCCCCTATTACATGGGACTCATAACATAAATAGTGAAAAGTGGGTGTTACATTGTACAGTGGCATAAAGTACCGTAATGTGCACCTCTGCCTACCCTTTCGGGGATAAAAGGCGTGATGGTTATGTGTTATATATGAAGAATTATATTCTACAACTTTTAATTTTACGAACAACGAATCGTTTTATTTAGAACTAGATATATAAATATGAAAGATAAAGAAACGTGATAGATAATGTGTGATTCTGAAAGTAAGTGCCATCTCCGTGCTTTACTTAGTAGGGTAGGTCCTGACGCCTTCAAATATATCCTATATATATACAACATACAATCATACATATATACTATATTATATTATTATGTAAGAGCAATAAATTGTGGTATATGGGGGCTAAGTAACACAACTGATGAAATGTAGGTGTTTATTAAATATTCAATAATGTAAACTATTAATCTATGTATTTAAGTAGGTATATATCATAATGTGTATGATTTCATTGGTAAAATGACGTAGCATATAATGTACTATTAGCATAGTATATACTGATATACATTACCTATATATCGCGAATTGTATTCTCAATCAATTATTAAGTTCTTCGGCCTATTCACGTAATTATTTGACGAGGAACTCGACTAGTTTCAAATCATGCTAGAGGTTCATTCATGAGCAGCATTCCGCGACCCGAGATGCGGCGAGTGTCGCGCTGGTACTGATCCTCGTAAAATAATTACGTAAGTAATAATTAATTTAGTATGTAACAGGAAAGTTATAATATAAATTGTATTCTCGCTTGAAGCAATTTACGATCTATCGTATCTATCTATCTAATCGATTCTATTGGGTCCGAGTATTGTATGTTTGTATATTTGCAACGTATAGCAATTTATGTTTACTATTGAAAACATCCAATCAAAATGATAAAACTATTGTTTTTAATTAGGCGGCTATCGTTTTTCTGGTCATCAGCTGTAGCCAAATGCCATTTAGCGCTTGTCTACATGTAGAATAGAAAACTAAATTATATAGAATTGACGTAAATTTTGACACTTGTCAGTGTCATTCCCCTACATTTAATTTTCTACTCTCTCTGTAAACAAGCGCTAAAGTGGCGTTTGGCTAAAGGCACAGATGTGGTAAATGTAGGAAGAAATTTAGTCCAATCACTGTAGCTGTCAAATAATAAACGTCCAATAGTATGCCACGAGTTATTTCCCTATTGGACGAAGAACAAGAAGTTCTAGCACTAGCGTAATCTAATGAGCAAATATACTCTACGTCTCATTGCCAATGAATTTACAATTTGTTTAAGTACAATTATTATATACACTTGCTTATAGTACATTGCTATAGTAGGTGCTCTTTCTATTATATAGTAGTTTACATAGAGGCCTACCATAATAGTATTTTAACATAGTGGCCTTAGTATCGCAGCTATTTTTACTGTTGCTAAAGCTGTTTTCACAAATTAATGTGTTATTCTGATATTTTAGGTAATATTAATTAAGAATGTTAAAAATTTTGACTGCCTTGTTGGCCGAGTGGTAGCAAGTGCGACTACCGGGCAAGGGGTCTCGGGTTCGATCCCGGGTCGGGCAAAGTATTACTGGGTTATTAAAATATTCTCAGTAGTAGCACGGAGTCTGGAATTGTGCCCGGTATATGGCAATGGACTCACCCCTATTACATGGGACTCATAACATAAATAGTGAAAAGTGGGTGTTACTTCTGTGTGCATCTCTGCCTACCTCTTCGGGGATAAAAGGCGTGATGTTGTTATATAAAAATTTTGTAACCAACGGGACTTATTTACTTGTTTTTTGATCTTTATTCGTTGTAGATGTGGTTGGTACAGTGCTACGGCGTATGTCATGCGAAAATTCTTTAATGCCTTTAAACGCTCTCATAATAACACATAAAGTCATTCTAGCGTGGGATATATAAAATAATTAGTAAACTAATGTCCAAAGGCTCAAACGCTACTCAATTTTAAGTCTCGCTTTAGTATAGTTCTCACTACAAATTCTGTGTAAAATGAAAGAGATGGCACGATATAATCACAACTTAAAATTGTAGTAGCCGTACAATATTCGGGCGTAAATGATTTTGCCATGAGAATAACAATATGATATAAAGCCTTTAAAATTGTGAAAACAGCTTTAAATTAGCACATATTCATATAGTATTTTTTCGTGTTGTGGTATATTCTAGAGCTATATAACATAGTATATTTACATATATAAGCGTAGGACCGTGGAACGAGAGCAATATTTTTGTATGTTGAGAGTGTGCTACTAATATATTAAAGCCTTTTCCTACGAAGTTGCCGTTTTGAACAACTGAAACGGCAGTGTTGTAGGTAAAATATATTTAAGTAAACGTTAAAATAACATGTAAGTTAATAATATTTGTAAATAACTTTACTAGGGAGCGTTGTATGTAGTGTATAGGTTCTGTATTCGATAGACTTGTTTCAAAAAATCGTTAAAAAATCCATTCGATTGTCTATCCCATCTATATAACCGATTAAACCTAATACATGGTATATGAAAACTTACAGAAAGCATATTTAAATACAAAAAAAAATCGTTGGTCTAGTTACAACATAAATGCGAGTGCTGAGCAAAGGTGTCCAGTGTTTGATTCTCGAATAGGATAAAACAGTATTCGGATTCTTACTTTTTACTGTTGTTACTTCCTATTCATCTGCCTATCTCATCGGGGATTGTACTAATAAAGTTGGGTTCCGAAAATTTAAACGTCAAAAAGTACATCTCATACTAATTTCTGCTTAATTCCTTTTTCGTTCACGGAACTTCGTAATTACTGAAATTAAGGCAGGAAATTTTTTCGTCGAATCGAACTAGACCTATCACCGAAAATTAGAATGATCAATATATCATCCACAAGTCTATCGATACCTTTCAAATTAGTTGTATTAACGTTTGCGTGCTTATTTTATTTTATATCTAAATCTAAGTCTTGTACACTTTACATTTATTTTGTTTTAATATTTTATTTATTCTAATAAAGATTTTTTTATTTATATTTTTGTTTCTTTTTGGCTTCCTTTTCTTTGATTCAGTTTGCTAATTATTTTAAAAGACATTGTACCGTAATATAGAGTACTATAGTATTTTGTACGCAGGTAAGAAAATAAAGATTGTTTCAGTACAGAGACAGTAATTTAGTAATTCAGTAGTGGTATATGGCAATAGGCTCATCCCCTATTACATTGGACTCGTAACATAAATAGTGAAAAGTGGGTGTTACATTGTGCAGTGGCATTAACACCTTGAACGCCATGGGGGACAAGGTATGGGCCACGATAGCGGAGAATTTACCTTCAACAGTTTTCTGTCGGCAGTCAAACTGTTAAGTGCCGTAACGCCACCACTGCCTACCCCTTCGGGGATAAAAGAAGAGATTTGTTGTTCGCAAAGAAACAAGAGCTACTGTCTCTGTACTGAATCAATCTCTTATTCTCTTACCTGTATACTAAATAGTTTTGCTGGCAGTAGTCATAATACGATTCATTATTTTCATAAGTAAAATAATCATTTAATAGATATTCGTCTAACATTTTTTGTGGAGTTTTATTACGATTTCTTTTTTAAATACAAGGTCATTAAAGTATACATACGACATTATAGAATTGTAAGACAAAATAGTGTTAGACTAATACTAAGAAATATAAATTATCTGTGGTTTTCTATACATCTGTAGACAGAATACTTTTAAAAAATAGTAATAATGTTTAAACAACAACAAATGTAATAGATTAATGTAAACTTGGTGCTAGAATCACATTATTTTCGTACAAGTAATAGCCTTATAGATATAACGCATAGTCGATAGAAATCAATACATAGTATAAAACAAAGTCGCTTTCGCTGTATGTCCGTATGTATGCTTAGATCTTTAAAACTACGCAACGGATTTTGATGCGGTTTTTTTTAATAGATAGAGTGATTCTTAAGGAAGGTTTGTATGTATAATACATGCATATTGCACCCGTGCGAAGCCGGGGCGGGTCGCTAGTAGAAAATAAATTGCAATAACCTCGAAGATTAAACTTACAATAAGAATAAGTTTCATACAGTCACAGAACAAGCTATATTTAAATCTCAAAAAACTACCTTAAAAACATCATTTCGATATAAGTTATAATTGATATGTAACGATATTCATTAATTTTAATTAATGCAATGAGCAAGTTTCCACCTGGCCTAAAACAATAATTAGCGGGATTATCCCTCTTAAACAATATTTTAGAATAAGCCTGTCCTAATTTCTAATTTAGGTATTCATTTATCTAATTCTAATTTCAGTAGGTTTCAATTTAACTTAGGCCCCTTCTAAACTTATTGGACAGGAGATCCTAGCTCTTAATACTCAGAAGGATAATACTAAACTATAAATTAAATGTAAACCTAAATTATATCCAACTAAACTACTAATTTTATAATTCAATTTTTCTCAATTAAAGAGCTTGGCAATAAAAATATATAATTATGAAAAGAAGCTAAATTAATTGTAGTTGATTGTAGATTTTGGTATTGTCTGCCTACTAAAGTGATTGATTTAGTACGCCATAAATGCT